CATTCCACCTTTTGGGAGCCCTTCAAGTACCACAGGGGGTTTGGAGACAGTCACACTGAAATTTGGAGTTAAAATCATCAGCCTGACATAGTAAATCTGGTCATTATCTTCTAACTCTGGTGCCCTAAATTCGTTCATTAAACAAACAGTGATTATAAAAACTAGGCTCTGGTCATAAATGATAAATAATTTATGCCAAACCAATGTCCAAGTATTTTATTTTCTATTTCTGCCCTGATAACCTATGATAGATACAGTCATAAAGCAAATTACCCCAAGCTTATATGTTTTTCTTTGTAGATGTTTGTCTTACAGCAGATCAGAGCACTTTCCTCCTCAGAACTGTCATTGGCTCGCTTTTGCTGTGAGACAGTCCACACCTCTCAGCGTGGCATTCAAGGCCATGTTGTCTGGCCACTTGTTAAAACGCCTGTCTCCTTCCCAACGAAAGCCCGTCTTCCTTTCTTTCTAGCCACACCTGACTCCTAACTGTTCCCTAAAAAAGCCACCTACTTTCATGCGGAATCTACCCAATTGCCTAGGAAGGGATAAAAAAATATTACACAGATTTTCCCTGCAGTGTCAGAAGTCAAGACTTTGAGGCTCAAGGAGGTTGTATCACTTGCCCAAGGTCACACAGCTTGTAGAGGAAGACACCAATATTCAAACCCAGGTCTGACTTCAAAGCCAAGGCTCCTTTCGGTGCTGCACTATTCTGGAAAAGTTCAACCCTCACAGGCTAGTGTGGGAAAGCAGGAATTACAGATGGCCTTCTGAAACGATGGAGATTTCCCCTCTCCTCTTTCCATTCCCATACTTTAATGCACTTGACAGTGACTACAAAGTGATCAGAGATGCACAGTGAAAAGTGAGCATAACCCAGCACTAGATTACTGCCCCTCCTTTCAACTATAAGAAATGAAAAGTGGACTATTTATTTTTTAATATGCAAGCATAAAAATGGTAGGGGAAGATGCGGAGACCTGTTCTGATCGCTCTTCTTCCAAGAATACATCTTTAGCCAATTCTGTTTCACAAGCTGATGAGCTCTCTGTCACCACTGGGCTCTCTGGACTGATCTCCCTGGACCCTTGGAATAGGAAGAGGCTGTGGTATGAAGCTGCACAGACAGGAGAAGGGAGACGACGCATTTCTCTTAAGTGATAGTAGCATAATTAATAGCTCCCCCAGATCACTCTTATGAGCTTTTTAAGCACCTTATTTGGAGATCACGTTGGCTATACTTTTCTCAAATAGTTCCTTTATTAACACTGCACTAATGAGAGAAGCTAAAACAGAATTTAGATTCCTTTTGTAGTTTGTTCTAGCAAAAGCTCTAAATTGCATTTCATAATAAGTATGTCTATTTATAGACTGTAGATGTCCTTGTAGATAATTATATAGATAATAATTACTCTCAGAGGGCTAAAAAAAAAAAATCGGGATAAAAAGATGCTTAACCACTGAAATAAAAAGTACGCAAACAAGCAGCCACCAAAGTCTCTGGCTCAGTTTGTCAAGGAACGTTTATTTTCTGCTTTAAAAAAAAAAAAAGGTAGAACACAGTAAGCAATATTAGTAAGAAAGGAACCATAAATCATGCCATGCAATTTTCTTTCAGTCCTGAACTACACCAGAATAAACAAAACACTAAAGACTAAATTCTAATAATTCACAGCCCCTCAGCAATTCACATACTGTACCATTTTCTTTTCACTCCGTCCTGGTAACTTCCCTGAAAACCACCTCCATTGCTACCGCCCTCAGTCAAGTCAGTGTCTTCTGTGGCCTGGAGAACCTCCCCAGCCTCCACTCAGGCCAACTACTAGTCCATTCTCCAGGGCGGCCAGGGTGACCTCGGAGACACAGACATCATCCTCTCCCTTTGGCTCTCCACCCCTCACCGTGCTTCCTTTTCTCTACAGCACTTCCTGATATTTGCATGACTGCCATCTAGCTTCCCTATCAGACTAAGCCCTGTGCTGGTGGGGACACTGTTTGCCATCTGCTTTGCCACTTGTGTCCCGGGGCCCAGAAACGCCTCAAAATCTGCTGAATAAATGAGTTCCAGCTCATGATGATTTTTCTCTGCTCTGAGTGCATATAAAATTGGCCCTCTTCACAGTAACTCAAGGTTGTTCTGTCTTGCTCTCTAGTTGTGGTATACAGATTTAGCAAAGCGCTTTCTATTTACTTTGCATCTGGGAGTGACAGGGCCTAGCATATTTAAACGACATAAATGATGCTTAAAACTTGCTAATGTGGCTCAACTTTCAATCTTTTGCTATCTGTTAGAGAAGGGACAAAGTTGTTTGTACCATCACAAGATCAGCTTTTATTTCAACATAAACACTGTCTCAGACTATATAACAGAAAAAAAAAGACCAAGGAGAAAAGATAAGAAAACATATTGAGAGCCATATCTTACTCTGATAACTTTAAACATTTGCTTTAAACAATAATTTCTACTAGCTTGGGTCCAAGTAGTCCTATACTGGCTCTTTGTTACAGGAGTAGACTAAAGAATAAAACTAAAATTCAATATTGATTTTTAAAACCTTGTTTACATTATCATTAACTCACTACCACCATTAGCAAATAACCAATGAAGTCAAACAAAATACACTGTAATAGAGTCTCTGCTGTACTCAAACAGTCTGAACAAGAAGTTATGGCTTCAGGTCTTCCCTGGTGGCACAGTGGTTAATAATCCACCTGCCAATGCAGGGGACACGGGTTCGAGCCCTGGTCTGAGAAGATCCCACATGCTGCAGAGCATCTAAGCCTGTGTGCCACAACTACTGAGCCTGCGCTCTAGAGCCTGCGAGCCACAACTATTGAGCCCGCTGTGCCACAACTACTGAAGCCCGCACGCCTAGAGCCTGTGCTCCACAACAAGAGAAGCCACCACAATGAGAAGCCCGCGCACCGCAACGAAGAGTGGCTCTCGCTTGCTGTAACTAGAGAAAGCCTGCGCGCAGCAACGAAGACCCAACACAGCCAAAACTAACTAACTAAATAAATTTAAAAAAATTAAAATAAAAGAAGTTATAGCTTCATATATCATAAGAGGGTCCCAAAGTATCTGCATTTATTCATTGAATAAATAACGCCAGATCCAAGATAAGGCAATGTGCTAGATGCTGTGATCTGCACCTTTTAGGCCCCATTCAAAATGCTATGTTGTAGAAATTAAAAAACTATAAAAGTGGTCATATCGTAACAAACATTTGGCTAGGTGAGTGACCTAGCCAATTAACTCTTTTTAAAAAGTACCATACTTCAAGTGCAAAGGCAACCCTGCCTGACAATTACAGAAATTAAAATGCTGCAGGAAGTTTGGCAACTTATTCTGACGGTGAAAAGTCTTTCGAAAACTAAGTTGCAGCATATAATCACCTTCAGATTACATAATATCTCCCAGAGACACAGTAGTCTACTTGTTCCACCCTACAAGTTTTTCTGGTGTCAATAAAAACTATTTAACCACGTTATTATTCCAGGGTCATATTATTTCTTTTCACTATTTAACAGTATTAGTCCTTTTAAAGTTTTTCACTTCTACGTTGGAACATGGATTAATCTAGCCTCCTATGCTTTTACAAACACTAGCAAACTTGCTCTTCTTTGTGAACAGGTCACATGGACCTCAAGCATTACTATGAAACAGCCTAAGCATAATGCAAAAGTAATAGTTACAGACCCTTTAATTTTTCCATCTAAGGACGAGTCCAACCCAAATAGTTGGCCTGTGTTGGTGATTTTTTTTGTTTTTGTTTTGGCTGCGCCCCAGGTCATGTGGGATCTTAGTTCCTGGACCAGGACCAGGGATTGAACCCATGGCCCCTGCAGTGGAAGCTTGGAGTCTTAACCACTACACCACCAGAGAAGTCCCTGTGTTGGTGATTCGATGTCCTGAAACAGAGTAGGTTTGTAAAAGGCCGGGTTCCATGTCTATCACAGAACTGTGGCAACTGCGAAGAACCAGAGCAAGCAGAATGCTCCTGCTTGTCCTTAAAATACCCGGTTCTACAGGAAGCTTCCGGCAGACAAAGGCTCACAGGACTTCACTGGGGAGAGAGGCTTATGGGATCCATGGACAGGACACTCAGAATGTGAAGTGATCTGCAATACTGAAGAACAAACTTTAAGCAGCTAATGCTATTATATCTTTTATACGATGAAACTTAATAGGATTTGTGTTTAGTTCATTTGTCAGTTCCTTACTGACATCTGGAAAATGCACCCTGATTTATAAACAAAGTGAATGATATAGGCCAGGTCTTCAGGATTTCAAGTACCTGCACAAGGACAATGAACTTGCTCTGAAATCATGGTGGCGCGCTGGGCCTGCGGACGGCCTGCTCTGAAATCCACCCCAAAGTGCATGATGGCACAAATGGTGTTTCTGGGTCTGGAGACTATTCACCAACACTCAAGCCACCAAACCAATAATGAAAACCTACTTCATGGGCAGAGACATCTGAATGAAAACTCTTTGTTAACATCAAAGGACACGAAGCCATATTTAAAGCGGGAAAGGAGAGACCTCAACACAGTGCTTGTAAAGCTGAAGCAAAAGGCAGTTTGATGTAGCCCACTAGGCAAGACGGGGGGCCATGGGTTCCCGAGGACGGCCTCGGTTTGCAAAGTTCTATCCAAATGAACCACTTACGGTACCCAAAGGCCAAACAGCACTGTGAGGTTTCCAGAAAGCCCCGATATTTTACAACTGTGTCTTCGGCAAGCAAGTCTGATCCGCCTTTCTAAAAAAGGCACCTGAAAGAAACCCGGCAAGGTAAGTGTATCACCTGCCCCAAAGCAAGTAACCAGGGTCCAGATGGCCCCCTGAGCCCCGGAAGGCCAGCGCAGGAGGGGCTGCCGGCGTCTGGAGGCCGAGCCCCGCCTCCTGCCCCCCGAGCACCTGGCCCCGCGGAGCCCGCCCAGCGCCCGCACCGAGATGGGCTGCGCTGGGCGCGGTCCCACCCGCTCTCACTTACTGTTGCTGGACTTGAGGTCCCGGTGCAGGATGGGCACGACGGCCTCCTCGTGCAGGTAGAGCATGCCCCGCGCGATCTGCACCGCCCAGTTGACCAGCACGTGAGGGGGGATGCGGCGCGCGCGGCGCGGCCCGGGCGCGCGGGGGTCCGGGGCGGCGTTGGCGGCAGCCAGCGCACGGTTGAGCGCTCCGCCGCGGGCGAACTCGAGCACCAGGCAGAGGTGCGGCTGCCGCAGGCACACGCCGCGCAGCTCGATGATATTGGGGTGCCGCAGCATGGCGAAGAGCCGGGCCTCGCGCCGCACGCTCTCGGCCGCCGCCGCCGCGTCCTGGTCCGGGTCCCGGCGCGCCGCCTTCACCGCCACCTCCTGGCCCTGCCAGGTGGCGCGGTACACCTGCCCGAAGCCGCCAGCGCCGATGAGTTCCTGGAGCTCCAGCCTCTCGAAGTCGACGTGCACAGGCGAGCCGGGCCGCGGCGGCGGCGGCCGGGCGGGCGGCGGCGCGGGGCGAGCGGCCGGGCGGCACGGCGCCACGTAGTTGGCGGGGAAGATGCCGAGGCGCCGCTGCACCTGGCCGGCCCACCAGCCCTCGTCGCCCGACACGGCGGCGTCCTGGGACAGCACCTCCACTAGCTGGCCGCGTCGCAGGCTCAGCTCGTCCTCGCCGCGCGCCTCGTAGTCGTACAGCGCGGCCCACAGCCCTGCTCCCGCCGAGGCCGAGGAC